GTTAGGCATCCTTAGCAGGAATGCCGTAGACATGAGCCATGGCCTTCTGATTCCCCCCACTAGGCTGTCCCCACCTTTGTGGTTGTACCACAGGTCCTACTCAGGCTTTGACACCTAATGCCAAGTGACAGTTCTACATGGTTTCCATCTTTACCCTACTTGGGCCCTGACAGCCCACTCCAGACTCTGCGACACCCCTCCCCCATATGAACATCTTCTGTATCTCACTCTGGCTCTGCCATCCCTTGGCAGGACTCTATAAATGCAATGCAATCTCATGTGTAATTCCAAACAAAATCTATTTAGAACTTTCAAAAATGATACTACAATTGTACTTGACTTGGAGAACAATTTGAAATGAGCCAAGATATATTTGGGGGCAAAAGACCAAAAAGGCTTACTTTGTCATGTATTATAAAACCACAGAAATTCAAACAATCAGATTCTGACTCAGGAATAGACAAATTGATGGAAGAAAAATAAGGATTAAAGAAACAGATTGAAGAATATTGTAGTATTTATCGCCCATATAGTTATAGTAAGTTAGATAACCATGGTGATTTGGAGAAGAGCATTAATGAGCATTCTGTATTATGATTTACACAAAAATAGAAGTGTAAAAAAATAAAAAATCATAAAGTCATATCAATTCATAATATTATAATTCTGTGCTGGGGAATTACTTTGCTGGGTATGTCAAAGGAAAAAAAAGATAAAAAACTTAGCCTATTTATAAATTAAAATGTCCTATATCATAACAAAACAAAGGTAGCTCCAATCCACTTCACATCACATGGAAATGAGGGCTTTGAATAGATTATCTTGAATATCTCTTCAAGCTCTGAAATGATGACTCTCCATATTTTATGCATATGGTTATACGTAAATTGTGCCGTGTCTATGTTGCATCTTTCATATAATAGAAACTCCTTGAAGGCAAGATTTATATTTTACTTTTGTGTGCCTTCTCCACAGTTACACAAGCTGTGGTCATTGCTGTGAGCTGAATTGTGTCCCCAACAAAGGATTATGGTGAAGTCCCAACCCTGGGCACCTGTGACTGTGAACTTATTTGGAAATGGGGTCTTTGCAGATGCAGTCAAGCCAAGATGAGGTCATATTGAATTAGGGTGGGCCCTAAATCCAATGAGTGGAGTCCCTAAAAGAGAGAGAGAGATTTGCAGACACACTCCCAGGGAAGAAGTCGATCTAAAGACGGAGACAGAAATGGGAGTGATGAAGCTACCGAGTAATGACTGCCAGGAGCCACCAGAAAGCTAGGAAAAAGAAAGGAAGACGCCTTTCCCAAAGCCTTCCGAGACAGCACAGCCCTGGTGACATTTTTTCGGTTCAGACTTCTAGCCTCTAGAACCATGGAATGATCACTTCTGTTGTTTTAAGCCCCACAGTTGGTGACACTTTGTTAAGGCAGCCCGGGGAAATTAATACAGTCATTTAAATGGGCGATTTTGTTTTTATAGGTAATCATACAGAGCACTGTAAATTAGAGCACTTATATTCACCCATTGGTGTTGGAGTGGTGGAACACTCAATTGTGTTCCCTCTGCTGCACAAATTCAAAAAAGATTGGCTCTCTTTCTTTTAATTAGAAATAAGATTCATCAGTCTTGCAGCCTCACTATTTTTCGATGGTTTCTTCATCTGTCAGAAAGCAGCTTCCTCAGCACCTACAAGATTTGGTCAATCTCCAACTCAGTCAAACTCCAGCCCAGACTCATCCCAGAGGACTTCTGTTTTCCCCGGGCTCAATCACCTCCCTGAAACATGACCCTGAAGAAACCTTTTCACTTTGCCCGGTGGTAAATTCTACCTGTGTGATATATTGTAATGGCCAACGTTTGCTGTATTAACACACACCCGTGGAAGCCATAAGCTACTTTAGAGAAAACTGCCATATTTTTAGATGAAATCAGTAAAAACAGGAAAGAATTAGTATTTTATTGTGTTCGGGAGATTATATATTTATACGCTTTTTACAGGGCTGACATTCTGTCATTAGGTCTATCTTTTCTCTAATTCTCTGGGTGCTATTATTTTAGATGCACTCCTATCGTATTATGCCTTCTTATTCCCTATTTTACTTGCCAGTAATGCTTCTAAGAAGATATCATATTTTACTACAATTTTTCACAAAAGAGAGAATATTACTTTGCTCCACAATAGATTAACTCCCAGACAAATGGATTATCTGTTAATTTTATGTCATCCTTAACTGAACTAAAACTCTCACAATTGAATTTTACTAATTATATATTACTGTAAAGTAGCTACTTATAAAGGCATTTTTTTTTTTAATTTTTTTTTCAACGTTTTTAATTTTATTTTTGGGGCAGAGAGAGACAGAGCATGAACTGGGGAGGGGCAGAGAGAGAGGGAGACACAGAATCAGAAACAGGCTCCAGGCTCCGAGCCATCAGCCCAGAGCCTGACGCGGGGCTCGAACTCACGGACCGCGAGATCGTGACCTGGCTGAAGTCGGACGCTTAACCGACTGCGCCACCCAGGCGCCCCTAAAGGCATTTTAAATAAGACATCTATTATAATTACTTAACCCTGGAAAAGAGGACAAGAGTAGTATCACGCAAATGCTGTAAAATGGCAGTCCATGATCTGAATGGAAGACGCCAGTGTGCTTTGTTAGGCATGCAGAGTGGTTTTAAAGCCCCATATGAAATAGTTTCAGCATTTAAAGATTAGGAGACCTTACCAAAATAAATTCTTATTTCTGTCTTTTGGGAAAGAAAATCAGAAAAGAATATCTAGCTGTGCTGGACAGTCTTGGCAATAAACAGTGTTGGGGGAAACCAGACAATCAAAAGAATGAAACTGTGCCCCTCTCTTACCCCATACACACAAATCAACTCAAAATGGAATCAAGACTTGAATGTAAGACCTGAAACTATAAAACCTATAAAAGAAAACATAAGTGGTAAGCTGTTGGACATTGGTCTTAGCATCATTTTTTGGATTAGACACCAAAACAAAGGTAACTAAAAGTAAAATAAACAGGCGGGACTACTTCAAACTAAAAACCTTCTGTAACCTCTGGAATGGGAGGACATGTTTGCAAACCACGTATCTGATAAAAGGTTAGTAAAAAAAAAACAGTTTAAAGAAAACAAAAACAAACAACCCAATGAAGAAATGGCAAAGCACCCAAATAGACATTCTTTCAAAGAAGACATACAAAATATCAACAGACACATGAAAAGGTGCTTGACATCACTAATCAGGGAAATGCAAATCAAAGCCACAATGAGATATCATCACCTCATAGCAGTTAGAATGTCTATTATCAAGAAGACAAGAAATAATAAATGCTGGCAAGAGGTGGAGAAAGGGAACCCTCCTACGTGGTTGGTAGGAATGTAAACTGGTACAGCCATGATGGTAAACAGTGTGGACATTCCTGAAAATACTAAAAAAAGAACCGCTATATGATCCAGCACTTCCACTCCTGAATATATATCCAAAGGAAATAAAATCATTATCTTGGGAAGCTATCTGCACTCTGACGTTCACTGCAACATTATTCACATAGTCCAAGTATGGAAACGACCCAAGTGTCCATTGACCTGTGAATGGTTAAAGAAAATGTGATACTGAGGGGCGCCTGGGTGGCTCAGTTGGTTAAGTGTCTGACTCTTGATTTCGGCTCAGATTATGATCTCATGGTTCGTGAGTTCGAACCCTGCATCTGGCTCTGTGCTGATGATGTGGAGCCTTCTTGGGATTCTATCCCCCCACCCCCTATCCCTCCCTTGCTTGTTCTCTATCTCTCTCAAAATAAATAAAAAAAAAAACTAAAAAAAAGAAAGAAAGAAAGAAAAAATGTGATACTGAAATATATATGGAATATTACTCAGTTTTTAAAAAGAAAGAAATCCTGTCATTTGTGACAACATGGATAAAACTGGAGGGCAATTATACTAACTGAAATAAACCAGATATGGCATCACTTACGTGTGGAATCTAAAAAAGAAAAAAAAATGTCAAACTCATATAAACCAAGTAGGAAAGTGGTTGACAGGGCCTGGGGAGTGAGAGAAATAGGGAGAGGACGGTAAACGGGAGCCCCAAAATACCTCCTCTGAATCTTTTTGTGGAGATATCTATTCATGTCTGTTGGACATACACTTGGGAGTAGAATTACTGGGAATCTTAAAGTAGGCATCTATTTAGTTTTAGTATATAATTCTGTCTTCCAAAGTGTTTGTACCAATTTAAACTCCCACCAGCAACGTATGAGAGTTCCAGTTGGTCCGTGTTGGTGCCAAACTGGGTGTTGTCAATCTTTTTAATTTTAGCCATTCCAGTGGGTGTGTGGTGGTATTTTGTTGTGGTTTTAATTTTAATTTTCTCATGACTAATGATATTGAGTATCATCTCCCATGCTTACTGTCAGTTAGATATGCTCTTTTAGAAACTGCCTGTGAAAGTCTTTTGCCCATTTTTTTTAACAATAGCTTTATTGAGATATAAGTCACATACTATAAATTTCATGGTATTAAAGTACAAATGCATCAGGTATTAGTGTATTACAGGGTTGTACCATTATCAGATCAGCATCATCTAACTTCAGGACATTTTTATCACCCTAAAAAGAAACCATATTCCCATTAGTAGTCACTCTGCATCTGCCCCACCTCCGCCCCCAACCCCTGGCAACCAGTAATCTACTTTCAGTCTATATCCCTACTCTAGACATTTCATAATAATAATTAAAAAGATCATTCATTGTGTAACATTTTGTCACTTTTTTGTGTGCATGTGTGTGTGTGTGTGTGTGTGTGTGTGTGTTTACTGAACATGTCTTCAAAGCTCAACCATGTTGTAGCAAGCATCTGTATTTCATGCCTTTTTAATGTTGAGCAATATTCCCTTATATGGTTATGTATTTTTTTCAATGAAAGGGGAACTTGTCTGAAGCCCAAGGGCCTTGGGCCTCCTGCAGGCAATGGAAGAGTGAGTAGAGGGACCTTATTTGATCTTCTCGGAGCACAGGTATGGGTGGTGTGGCCGCACTTTTTCTGGCAGTTGACAGCACAGGATGCAGGCAACCATGACGCTTGGGGCAGATCATCCTGTCGCAGTTGTGTTTCTGGGTCACCCGGCGGAGGGAAGGTTGGATGATGCTACACCACAGGCGAAGTACCAAGTGGACTTTTTCTGGGTATTGTCGCCTGAGCGTGCAGCCATCCTCCGGCCATCTGCCCACAAAAATCAGATGCTGCTGATCAGGGGAGATGCCCTCCTTGCCTTGGAGTTTGGCTTCGACATTCTCAGCAGTATCTCTGGGCTCGACCTTGAGGATGATGGTCTTGCCTGTCGGGGTCTTCACAAAGATCTGCATCTCTTCATCTGCTCAGCTGCCTTGTTGAAGAGAAAGAGCATGCCACGTTCGTCTTTGTCCATTACTTGAGGGACAGTTGTATTGTTTCCTGTCTGAGGCTGTTGTTAATAACGCTACTATAGACATTTGTATACAAGTTTTTAAAGAAACGTATGTTTTCAATTCTCTCAGATACATACCTGGAAGGAACATTGCTGGGTCATATGGTAACTCTATGTTCACCATTTTGAGGAACTGCCAAACTTCCAAAGCTACCGCACTATTTTTAAATACCACAAGCAATGAATGGAGTTTCCATTTTTCCCACATGCTCGTTAGTACTTGTTATTGCCTGTCTTTTTTTTTTTTTCATGTTTTATTTATTTTTGAGAGAGAGAGCGCACGAGTGGGAAAGAGCCAGAGAGAAGGGGGAACATAGGATCCGAAGTGGGCTCTGTACCGACAGCAGCCAGCCAGATGCAGGGCTCGAACTCACAAACTGTGAGATCATGACCTGAGCCAAAGTCAGCCGCTCAACCAGCTGAGCCACCCAGGCGCCCCTTGCCTGTCTTTTTCAAAAAAGGTTTGCCATCCTCGCGAGTGTGAACTGGTATCTCATTGTGATTTTCATTTTTCTTGCCTCAATGACTAATGATTTAAGCATCTTCTCATGTGCTTACAGATCATTTGTATACCTTCTTGAGAGAAATGTCTATTCAAATTCTTTAATGTTTAACTGGGGCCATTTTTCTTTTCATTGTTGAGTTACAAAAGATGTCTGTGTATTCTCAATACATTACCCTTGACAGATAAATGATTGGCAAGTCTTCTTCTCCTGTTCTGTGGGTTGTCTTTTCACTTTTTGATAGTGTCCTTTGACACACGCAAGTTCTTCATTTTTGTGTAGCTCAGTTTATTTAGTCTTCCTTTTGTCATCTGTGCTGTGGGTATCATACCTAAGAAACCACTGCATGATTTAAGATTGTAAGACTCCTGGTGGCTCAGTCAGTTAAGCGTCCAACTTCAGCTCATGTCATGATCTCACGGTTTGTGGGTTCAAGCCCTGCGTTGGGCTCCGTGCTGACAGCTCAGAGCCTGGAGCCTACTTCAGATTCTGTGTCTCCTTCTCTCTCTGCCCTTCCCCCACTGTGCTCTCTCTGTGTCCCTCAGAAATGAATAAACGTTAACAAAATTTTTTTTTAATTTACTCTCAAGTTTTCTTGTAAGTCTTGAAGTTTTAGTTCTTACATGTATGCCTATGATCCGTTGTGAATTAATTTTTGTATATGGCAGAGTAGGGATCCAAAGTTCATTATTTTGTTTATGGATATACAGTTGCTACAACACCAATTGTTGAAAAAACTGTTCTTTCTCTGTTGAATTTTCTTAGTATCCTTATTGAAAATTGATTGACCATGAACATAAGGGTTTATTTTTGTGCTGTCAATTTATTCTGTTAATCCATATGCCTATCCTTAGGCTATAGCCCCATTTTCTTGATTATAGTAGTAGTGTAGTCAGTTTTGAAATCAGGAAGTACGAGTCCTCCAACTTTTTAAAGATTGTTTTGGCTATTCTAGATCCCTGGCATTTCCATCTGACTTTTAGGATTAGTTTGGTAATTCCTGGAAACATTCAGCTGGGATTTTGATAGGAATTGTGTTGAATCTGTAGATTAGTTTGGGGAGTATTGCCATCTTAACATTAAAACTTCTAACCCATAAACATAGGGTGTCTTTCTACTTATTTAAGTCTTCCTCAATTTCTTTCAACAAGATTTTGAGTTTTGACAGCACAAATATTGCATTTCTTCTGTTAAGTTTATTCCTAAGTATTTCATTCTTTTGTAAAGGGAATTGTCTTAATTTCATTGTCAGACTCCTCATTGCTAACAAATAGAAATACAGTCGACTTTTGCATATTGATTCTATATCTTGTATCTTGCAACTGGGCTGACCTGTTTACTAATACTAACATTTTGTGTGTGTGCAACTCCTTAGGATTTTCTCTATGTAGGTTTGTGTCATCTGTGTGCAGAGATGGTTTTATTTTTCCATTCTGATCTTGATGTTTTTTATCTCATTTCTTACCTAAATGCAGGCTAGAACCTTTAATACAGTGTTAGATGGAAGTGATGCATGTGGATGTTCTTGTCTTTGTTCCTGATTTGAAGGAGAAAAAAAATCAGTTTTTCACCATTAAGTGTTAAGCTGTGGGTTTTTCATAGAAGACCTTTATCAATTTCAGGAAATTTCCTTCTACTCCTAGTTTGTTGAGTGTTTGAGTGTTTCTATCATGAAAAGTCATTGTACTTTGTCAAAAAAATTTTTTTTGCTTCTATTAAGATCATGTGATTCTTGGTCTTTTATTGTATTAATTTGATGTATTATACTGGTTGAGTTTTGTTGGTTAAATCAACCTTATATTCCAGGGATCAACCCACTTAGTCATTGTCTGCAATTTTTTTTTTTTTTT